AGGGGAATTTTGTGAGAGAGAGAGAGAGAGACAAAAATTTGCTGTGGCTAAATTGTCGTGGAACTAGAATTTCGTACAGCGCGAGTTTCGGAGGGAATTTTGTGAGATGCGGATTGCGAAAGTGTGAATTCTTACTAATACTTGACCTTAGTAACACTTCAGTTTTCACTGCGAAACGCTTTGTAGCAACAGAATTTGAGAATGGCTAATAGAAAACATTCGGTGTTGTGAGCTTCCGCAAGCATGAATTTGTCTGTGCAATCATTGTGCTTTTATCAGTGCATGTCATCCTGCTGCAGCTTCTTCGCCTACTAAATACTGGAGTTCTTTTCTGGAAAAAGCACTCAAAAGATAACATTCATTTGAAAAAAAAAATTATCCCTTACAAGTAATTAAAATCAAAACAGAATGCACTAGTATATCCAGAATGTATGGGACGAGAGTTGGGAGTGTTTGCGAGCACTGGAGAAATGGGGTTGGGAAGATGAGCGAATAAGGGATTTTGTAGAAGCTGGGTAGTTTTTCTTTTAAATTTTTCGAAATCTGAATCTCTTTTGATTTGCACTACTCTTAACATCTTGATTGATCCACATAAGCAGTCAACGAAAATAGCGCATTTGCCAGCACTTCCATAGGTAGTATATTCCAGAAGCAGATAAAGTGTAATCCTGAAAAATATCGGCCTAGCAGCACTTTGGGACCCCTCACTGGAAAAGGCTTCTTTTCATTCCTCATTATTGCTGTAATTTCAGAGACAAAAGAAGCAAAACCTTATTTTCCCCTTTCTTTTCGTTGTTTAATTTTTCTTTTTTTCCCTTTTTGGGTAGCGAACACTGTCATGACTTCAGCCGGAGAACGAACCTAAATAACTAGAAATTAAAGTACTACTGATTTTTAAAATTTTACTGCGAAAGTCTTAAAAAAGAGCATAATTTCCCCGCGGTCTTTGCCCCCTTTTTACATCATTCCTCCTCGATTGTACCGCTCTTACCTATCGTCTTCTGTTTGCATATGTAGCTGTTTGAGCATCGATGGTCCTGTTTGTTTATTCTGAATTTTTCTATCTTTTGTGCTATTTGCAGGATGTGCTGTGGTGGTTGCTGTTTTTCTAAAAATTGCTTTTTTTTAGATCTGAAGTTTTGTTATTATTTCATTATTTTTGCAGCTAAAGAAAGCGGGCCTGGAATTTCCAACGAAATCTGGTGACGCTGGCCTTGATGTTAAGGGTATCAGCGGGAAAATCAATCAGGATATGGCTAATGAGGTTTGTATAATTTTTTGCTTTGGTCAAGAACCGCCAAAGGTCAAAAGGAGGAAATTTTTAGACTGTCAACTAGGCAAAGGGACTAAGAATTTTTCTTCCAAAATCTAAACCCATATAAATATAAGTAAGTTCACTCCCTCACTGATTTAACAGGCATCCATATTTAATTGCATAGCAATAGGTGACCTTTGTTTTGGCTAAAAATTACGTGCATAGCTTATAGCTTATGTGGGTTCAGACAAATTTCGCTTGTTTTTCCACAGAACAAGTGTGAAGGATTTATCTGAATGCAGAAATGATCTGAAGTCATTTCGCTGTACAACGATTTCTGAGTTGCTTCCACTTCTGTAAAAATTTTTTCCATATGAAAATTTCGAAAAATACTTTGCATTAGCAAGGAAAATCTTGTTGGAATGTACACGTTTTTTTGGGCGAGGCGGTGCAGGGGCGGGGTGGAAAGATGTATGATTTTACAGGAGCATAATTTTCTTTACGTATTTACGGTAGATAATTTCAGATTTCGGACGACAATACTGATTTGAAAACCGCAAAAGGCACCGAGGATGCTGCTAGCGATGAAGATTTCGATAAAGGTTTCTTTTCTTTAATCTTTTTCTTGTGACAGGTATTTAAACTTGCCAGTTATTGTCTGCTTGCAAAAATCATATCTGTTCAAGCCACTGACTGAATTAATTTTTTTGTCTGTGTCTTTATGGTCTCCCGTATTATGGACATTCCTGCGCAGCCGCTAATTTTCTTCAACTGCTAGATCGATTTTCACTTGTCAAAAATTATTTCCTAGCCTATGGAAACTCTGCTATCCTTCCAGTATCTTTTCTCGGCTCTTTTACAGTAACATGCTCCATGTTACAGAGGGATCACCGCAGTTTTTGTCTCGTCTGAATTCGGATGCCTATTCGGAGAAAAAACTCAGAGAAACAACGCTGCAGATTTTGCTGGAAAAAGATGGTCTGCCACCACGGCGTGTTGAAGCTGATTATTTGAATCCAGCTACCGAAATCAACGTTAAGCTTGCTGATTTAGGAAATGCTTGCTGGACAGTTCGTTTTCGATTCCTTCCGCAATTTTTTAACAAAAATCCACCATGGATGGGCTCCATATGCTTTGGCTCAGCCTTTAGTATTTCAGAATGAGCCATTAATTTAGTAGTTGTTATGGCTTGATTTATCGCATATGTCTAATGACAAATGAGTATCCTTTGTTCCATTGATGTTTAAAATCGAACACAAAAATCCTTGGCGTATTTCACTGCCTGTGAAAAAACAACGAGTTATTTGGGAATGGCCCGAAAGTTCTAGCATTTTGCCAGTATTATTCCTCCGCTGGCGAAACTGCTAATGGTTTCCTCTTACAGGGCTACTTGAGAAGCGAGCCAATGATGTATTGACTCCCTAACCTACGAAACATTCCAATAAATTTACCACTGAGACCTATCGTAAAAGACGAGGTGGTAATTTCCAGCCAACGGCTCGATCCTAAGAGTAACAGCTACTTGTGCCACTAGAGCAGGGCTATTCAATTTTTGTATTCTAAGATCATGATTATTTTTCCCCTGCTGCGCAGAGCACTTCATTTGTCCAATTGCAGCATCATCACTTCACGGAGGATATCCAGACTCGTCAATATCGCAGTTTGGAAGTGC